GGGGAGGCGGGGTGCAGGGAGCGGAGTTTGAAGACGGAGACGGAGCTCTGAGTGGCGTTCTGCGGTGGGAGGATTGGGGTGTCGTTTTCCCATTCTCCTAGCTTTGTAGAGATTGAGATGGGGTTTTTAGCGTAATATTTCTGCCTTTCTCTACCACTCATTGTCTTTGATAAATACAATGGACGACTTTTAATCCCCAGGGAGAGGAGCCAGGGCCCTTCCCCCACTCACCAGCTTTGCCACCTTGGGGCAAAGGAATCAGACCGGACTGGGCTCCGGCTGGGACAGACCTCCCCTGTGCCACGGCCCCCTACGTGTGGCAATGACCCTGGACAGGGCTGTGGGGTAGATCAGCAGGCCTGTCTCCTGCTGGCCTACTCTGGGGTGGGGTGGACCCGCTGGCCAGCAGGAAGGAGGGTGCTCAGCCCAGAAAATGAGGACAAAGAGGGGAGACCAGAAGCTAGGCAACAGGAAGAAAGGGCCAAGTGCCCCCCAGCTTTACACATCACCAGCAAGGCCTGCACCCTCTGGCAAAAAGGTTCAGAGCACAGCGGTCAGGCCCCCGGCCCAGGGTCACCTTGCCACCTGTGAGTCGCCTCTCTCTGACCCTTCTTCCACAGTCCACTCTATTGAGGGGGTGAGAGAGCACCCCGGGGGGGGGCGGGTGCTATTGCACCCTTCTTTGCAACAGGCTGCACATGAAAATCACAAGTCAGTGGAGCAAATGGGTTAAGTCTCAGCACTATGAAGTTCTCCACAGCTACTGCAACACTAGTTCGATCCCCAGCCAGGGAGTGACCCACAGGGCATCTGTACCCCAGTTCTTGTGTGAATAAGTAAATAAGTCTTAAAAAAAAAAAAACCCTGAGTAAAGACTTAGCTATTACCACAGTGATTACAAAAAGTGTTGCTAAACTGATACCAACATACTGGGTTTGCTTTGTCAGGGTGCAAAGGATCTCATCCTGAACCTTCCTCCTGGGTTCTTCTAGGCGGGCGCATTGACAAGCACCAGACAGAGTGAGAAGAGAAAAAAAACCTAAAAAGTTTCATGAAGACTTGTATTCCTCCATAAACAGGGACTCAGTCACCACCACAGGCTTCTGCTGTCTTTACATGACCAAGAGGGGGTGTGTGGAGGCAGAGGAAGGGGAACGGTCAGTTAAAGAGTTTACCGAGGCAGCCACAGCAGACAAAGGCGTGCAGACTTAAGTTCTGCCTTCTCAAAGGGAGGTCAGAGCAGGTTTTTACAGAGGGAGGGCTTACATGTAAATGGCGTTTCCAAAAGCAGTCTCTGCACAGCCTTCAGAGTCTCTCCCAAGAAACCAGCCTTTGCATAAGGACATTTCTGGGTGGCAATTTTTCCTCCCTACAACCACTTCCATATATTTCCAGACTACAAAGCCACCCAGAGAGACAGACTCACCATCTCAGCTAGCTGAACACAGTTGGGGGAGGGGGGCAGCACAGCTGGGGTCTCCCCCCTGAAATAACTGTAGCTGAAGAGGAGGTGGGGGGCGGCCAGGTGCTGGGAAGTTTCCTGCAGAGCACCATAAACAAAGGCGTGTCTGCCAGATCTGACTAGCTGTCTTCTTTGTTAAGATTCAGTTGTCCTGGTACACCGAGTCACTCTCAGAAAGATTTTCTTTTATTCACGTAAATATCTTTTTTTTTTAAGACTTACTTATGCATACAGAACTGGGGTACAGGCCAGAGGTGCAGGGGCGGTGAGAGGATTCACCAGAGACAGAGTGGGGAGCAGAACAGGCAGATGGACAAAGTACACTGCTGAGGGGAGCAGATGGAGACAGGAGGAATCTGCTGTGCCCTGTGGGTCACTCCCTGGCTGGGGATCGAACTCGTGCTGCAGAGGCTGTGGACAGCTTCATAGTACCCATTGCGCCACCAGGGAGGGCCCTCGTGTAAATTTGCTTCCCAAATTTTTTGGGGGGAGGGGTCTAACTGAATTTTACTGGGCTCAGACCAGGAGTTCCGGCCTGTTAAAGGCCTCTGCGAACTTGTCTGTCTTCTTTTTGGCCAGTGTCTGTAGTCTGTGAGCTGGTTTTCCTTCTAGTAAATGGCCCTGGGCCTCCTTCTTCTCCTCCAGGGTGACTGACTGAGCAACCTCATGAGCCCGGCGTCCTGGGATGGCCCAGCTCTGTGTTGGCCGCAGAAGCACAACCGTGAAAGCAGCAGGAGCTCCCATCTGCTTGTTCCTCACAGGGCAGAAAAACCCCTTGACGCTGCTGGGGGTGGCTGGCCTTCTGGCCCAGCGGGCCTTGCTTGTTTGTTCCAACAAAAGACACACCTGGGGATTCAGCAGTGGTGGGGTCACAGGATGGGCGGGCTGATACTGAGCCGATGTACACAGAGAAGTCATTTTATGACAGACATTTTGAGAGAAAAGAGTTTAATTGTAGAGTTGGCTGGTAAGAACATGGGAGCCAAAGCTCAAATCTGCCTTCCCACCCCGGGGGAAGGGGTCATTTATACTGATCTTGGCCGATCGGGGTTGAGAACAGAAGAGTTACATTTTTAGGCTACCAGCTGCAGGCAAAGTAACGGAGCTTGGATGAAGCTTGTCGGTGTTCACCTGTCCGCGGGAGTGGGGAGCTGTCAAATGACTGGATCTTCCCCGTCCACAGGCCCCTCCCTTCTGAATGTGGTCCAGGCGGTCTCTTTTCCTATCATCTTGGTTCCATGTCAATGGACTCTTGCTTGTGGCCAACTTGAAGTTTAGTTTCAGATCCATCACAGGTCTCATGACTCACAGGGGCCAGCGTCACACCCCATCACTTCCATGAAAACAAGCTTCCAAGACAGTTAACCACTGCCAGCATCGTTGCTAAGAGACCAGCCATGGCCTCAGTGTTCGTCTGCTGGTGGAGGAAGTCCAGACACTCCACCACGGTTCCCACAGAAATTGCCAGAAGTGGGTCCTCCTCGGCGTAATGGGTTCAAGTGCAGCACTATGAAGTTATCCACAGCCACTGCAGCATAAGTTCGACTCTGGGCCAGGGAGGGACCCGCATGGCCCAGCAGACCTCTCCTGTCTCTCCTGCTGCTCCCTCAGCAGCATACTTTGTCAGTCTGCCTGGCCTGCTTCTTTTTCCCCATGAAACAATCCTAATGCCAGAGACATGTTTTAGGGTGATGGTTTTGTTCCCCTGCAGTGGTATTTGCTGGATGCCAGATGTCTTAAAGAGAGAAGGTACCTCCAAATTTTCAGCCTGAAGTAATCCAAGGGAGGACATTTGTGAGAGGGACAGTGGGGGGTTGGGGGTGTGCCGCTCAGGATCTCAGATTTGAAAAAAACGCTGAGAAGCTCCCCAGCCAACCCGGGGGGAGGCCTCCAGGGGGCAGCTCCAGGGGGCAGACAAATGGGAGTGTCACCCCTGGCATTGGTAGCCAGGAGTCTAGCTTTGCTCATCCTGGGAGAGGATGTGGGTAGGGAGCAAGGTTCCGAACTGGACTCTCCTGCTCTCTGATGAATAATAATCGGATAATAATTACCGTCATTTCATTCCTTGAATTATCTGGCACCGCCTGGCTCTCCACGCAAGATCACTGAATTAAACGGAACTTAACGGCACTTTATTCCCCCCCCCCCCCCCCGCTTCCCTGTTCCACACTAGTTTCAGACTCTCTTTGCAGGACAGCTGCACCTTAGACCCACTCAGTTAAGTGAGGAACAAAAACATCCTATTGGAATTTCTCAGAACTTTAACATGGAACTTTATTGCCACTTGAGGAAGGAAACTCGACCGGTCTTAAATGCCCACACCCACAGTGAAAGTTCCCATACAAACAGGACGTCAGGACGTCCAGAGTTCTGGGCCGCCACCCTCTGTGGCCCCACTCCTCACTCCCAAGCCGAGTGTCCTCAGCTCCAACTGCTTTTTTATTTTTCTGGGGAGAACTCTGAAATTGGGAGTTTGCACTGCAAGGATCTGGTCACCCATGCTGACCTCTTCAGCCTGGCCCTGGCTGCATGGCCCATCCCAGAGTGTGGTGCTGCCAGACAGCCTTGAACTCTGGTTTCCCACTTGAGAGCAGCAGCACTGAAATAGCAACATGAGTCACACGGAGCGGCACGCAGTGGGGACAGGACCTGTCTGGCACTTCGTGAGTGCCAGGGACCCGCGGAAGGCGACACTGCCTCCCTGCCCCACGCCGGAGGGCTGAGTTTCCTGAGAGATTTGGAGCTCAAGTTGGTGGGAATTATAAATAGAACGTTTCAAACTATCTGGAGTGGCTCTACCACGCTGCTAATGAGCACAAGCTTCAGGGCCACGCACTTGCACCTGCTTAACTTGGCTTGGGTTTCCCTCAAAGAGGGCTTTCAATTTTTTGAAACTTGAAAATGGGGGGCCTCCCTGGTGGCGCAAGGGGTTAAAATGCAGCTCTATGAAGCTATCACAGCCACTGCAGCACCAAGTTCGATTTCCAGCCAAGGAGCTGACCCACATGGCGTGGCAGACTTCTGTCTCACCTGCTGCTCCCCTCAGCAGTGTACTTTTGTCAATCTGCCTCTTCTGCTCCCCACCCTGTCTCTGGTGAAGGCTCTCACCCCCTGCACCTCCCCAGTTCTGTATGCACAACCTTTTTTTTTTTTAATTTTTTAAAAAAGATTTTATTTTTTCATACAGAACTGGGGTACAGGTCAGAGATATGGAGGGTGAGAGTATTCACCAGAGACAGAGCAGGGAGCAGAGCAGGCAGATCTACAAAGTACACTGCTGAGGGGAGCAGCGGGCGGGTCAGGAGAGGTCTGACGCGCCATGTGGTCACCTCCGGGGCAGGCGGGGATCGAACTCATGCGGAAGTGGCTTTAGCTGCTCAGTGCTGGGCTTTAACCCGCTGCGCCACCAGGGAGGGCCCACACTTTTTTTTTTTTTTTTTGAAGAAAATGTGTTGTTTTCTATGATCTTCAGAGCAGCCTTGGGAAATCAAGTTGATATACAAGGTCACGCAAGCAAATTTTCTCTGCATGCCTTGAAAATTCTAGATTTGTTTCTGCCTAAGGGCCTTTGCAGCCTCTGCTGCCAGGGCTGGATCTCTGTCCCTGGCTAGCTCTCACCCCCAGCGGGCTCACTGCTCTGTCCCTAGCTCTCACCTTTTCAGCACTCTCTGCTGCTTAGGACTAAGTTCATCTGAGTGCCCTCAACAACGCATACGGAGCCTCCACGCTGCCACCAGGCATGCTTCCGGGGACTTTCCTCACAACTCCTGACACAGAAACACTGTCACCTGCATTTTAAAATGGAAGCTACCCAAGCACAGAGATGTTACAGGAAATAGCTTGAAGTCACACAGTTGTTATTCGAGTGTCGTCTCTCCCACTAGAAAAGATCCCAAAGGGTGTCTGTGGGCCGCTGTGTCACCGCTGGGCCCAGTAACACAGTATAGAATGATTTAAAGAAAAAAGGTGAGTGGGTGAGAAGGCCAGGTCACACAGAAGTAGGGAGGGGTAAGGTGAGAAGGCAAGGTGGGTGATGCTGGAAGGCTACTGGATATGGAAAGCAGAGGGGCTGCAAGGCCCAGTGGCAACGAGAGGCAAAAAGGGCAGGTCTGGTGGCCAGATTTAAATTCAGCAGGTGGAGGGCCGCCCTGATGGCACAAGCAGTTAAGCCTCAGCACCATGAAGCCGGTCAGCAGCCACTGCAGCAGGCCTCTGCTGTCTCCCGGCAGCTCCGGCAACAATGGCTTTCAGTACCTCTGCCTGATCTGCCCCCCACTCTGTCTCTGGTGAATCCTCTCACCAAGCCCACACTTATGGCCTGTACCCCAGCTCATGTGCATAAATAAATCTTTAAAAAAGTAAATGAACTCAACAGGTGGAGAGAGGCCAAAGCCGGAGTCAGTGCATCAACTTCGCAATGCACCTGGAGCCCAACTCTTCTCATTCCTGCTCTGCAGCCTCCCAGGTCACCCACCCACCATCTTCTTGCCTTCGCCCTCACTCTCCTCACACACAGGAGCCAGAGGGACCCTGATGCCAGCAAGTTCCAAAGGTCCCTCTCCCGGCCTGGCCTCCACTGCAGTCCTGTGTCTGGCCAGGGAGTCCTGTGCTGTGCCTGCCACCAGGCTCTTCACATTTCCCACGGACTCACTTCCTCTTTTTTTTCTAGCTTCCCTGAGGTTTGCCCATATCCCCTTGACAAGGCAACACCCCCACCTACCTGTCCAATGCTCCTTGAACCAGGTTTTATTTCTCCTCACTGCCCTTGTGCAGCCATATTGTCACCGCTTTCAGTCAAGAGCTAAAGCAACTGACTTGTGTTAGGCTCACTGCATTCTCCTGTGTCGCCAATAAATGAGGGGCAACCGGAAGGATGGTTAGCATGCCTGCCAGGCTGAAGGAGGCAGGCGGCATGTGCCGCGCGGAGCACACCAGATGTGCCGCTGATACCAAAGTCCTGATTTAAACTCGGGGTGGGGCAGGGACTAGCCCACTGCTGTGAAAGAAGCCGACATGAGGCAGCTGTCTGGGGAGCAGGATGCCAAGGAACCCGCACAGCTCGTGTCAGCCTGGATGAGGGGTTGGTGGAGAGCCGCCGAGTGGGGTTAGTCCCTGGCAAGCCCAGAGCGCAGGGACCAGCCCACAAGTCCCTGTGGCTGCAGTTCGGTGCTTAAGGTGAAGGACAGCAAAAAGGCGGGAAGCGGGCCCGGATCGCCCTTGCTGAGCCCGCCTAAGGCCACCTCGACTTCCAGCCAGGGAGGGGGGCTACCCGTTTGGCTCGAGCACGCGGCTTGGCTGTGGCCTCCCTCTGCAAGAGGCGGGGGAGGTGAGCCACGGGCACTGCCCTCGGGGCGGGGTGGGAGGGGATGCTACTAGCCCGCGAAGGGAAAGGGCCCGGGGCCCAAGGCGCCCCCCAAACTCGCGGAGGGGCGCCTTCGTTCATGAACCACACACAGAAGGGCGCAGAATTCAGGACTTCAATCCCGCAGGCTCCTCTCTCGCCGACTCTACCCCGCGCCCCCCTCCAGGGGCCGGCCGGCCTCCCGCACCTGTGCGGGGACTAAGGCCTGCCAGCCCGCTGCTTGCCAGGGATATTGGGGTGCTGATGGCGGGGGGGTCACCGGAATAACGGGCCCCGCTCCTGTCCACCCTGGTCTCCCGCGCTAGCTCGCCGCCGCGCGGGCTGGAAGTAACCACGGCCCCAGCTGACTTGAGTCCTTCCCCTGAGAGGCTCGGAGAGGGGGCGCGTCTCTGCGGCAAACGCCCGGCGGGCAGCGGCTGGGCGAACTGAGACCCGGCACCGTCCTGCCCGATCGCGGCGCCGTCACCGCCACGCGGCTCGTCCTGCAACCAGAGCCCGACAGCGGGCGGAGACGCTCCAGGGAGCGCTCCCGAGGCCAAGGGGCCATTAACCCCTCCATTCGAGAGTCCGGAGCCCCAGCGAGGGCCTGGGTGGACGGTCAGCCAAGGGCTCCGGGCGCTGGCGGGAGCGCGGCGGGGAGCAGCGCGGAGACCGCCGCTGAGCAAGACTGGGGCCTCGGCTTCCCACAAAGCATCGCTCACCGGAATCCCACAGTCCGGTGAAGGGCAGCCGTGTAAACCTATCAGCGCAAAGTGCTGGCAGCGGCCCACCCAATCGAAATGTTCTTCAATCTGAAGGCGGTACCGTGAAGAACTCCTTCAGTCCAATGGGAGAGGTGGAAATTTCCAGAAAGAACAGGACCAATGGGCGCGGCCAACGCAGTTACGATTGACAGATCAAAACACCAATTATTATTGTAGAAGTCTGTCCCGCCCCTCCAATAGTAGAGCCGAGGGTGGGCGGGGCTTGAAGGGGAGAGTCCAGTCCCGCTGTGCGGAGGAGCCAGGGCTGCGGGATTACGCTCCACTGTCCAATGAGAAAGAAGCAAAGATGATGGGCTAGATTTCGAGCCAATAGAAGAGAAGTACAGGAAGGCCCCTATAGGAGGGCGACCAGTGAGCCGGCGAGGAAGGGGCGGGATTCCGGGGTCCCGGTAGCTTCTAGTAGGTTCCAGAAGGCGGCGCGTGCGGTTGGGAACGCGGAGAGGACGGAGTCGATTCAACGCGGTTCCGGGCCGTGCTA